GCTGTCACCATCGCCGTCCTCTAGATTCCTCCACCAACGACTGCCTAGCCTCCTGTCCGCTGGTCCACGGTTTGTCGCAGCATTCGAACATGCAGAGCCTGTCCGCCTTGCTGCGCTCCGAAAGGCAACATCTGGCGCTTCAACCCTCCCTCGAAAGTCGGTGAACTACCGATGCAATGTCAACCTCGCGCAGGGGAACACAAGATTCGACATCGCAAGGTGCCTCAGCCAAGTCAGGCTCAGTCCTTGCCGCCGCCTTCCAATATACCGAACCGAGTCGACCTTCCCACACCACGTCTCGTTCGAGATCCTCAAGCGTCCACCACGCGGGCATGAGCGGCCTCTCGCCACGTCGCCGTGCTCAGCAGGCTGCTATGAACAGCTATGTCGCCAGCACTGACCTTCCTCCACCTCCCCCCCCGATCTTCGTCCGCGCATTGTACAATTATGAAGCCGACGACCACACCAGCTTGAGCTTTCGCCAGGGTGATATAATCCAGGTGTTGACTCAATTAGAGAGTGGGTGGTGGGATGGCGTTATCAATGATGTTCGGGGCTGGTTCCCCAGCAATTACACCGCCGAGATCACCAATCTGGATGAATTGAATGAGGCGGGTATAGGAGGCCACGACGAGAGCGAGACCGGCTCTGGCACCGAGGAAGATTATGATGAAGAGGAAGAAGATTCGGACGCTCAAACTCAAGACGAGGACTCAGATTTGCCGATTGAAGGTGCATCCCAGGCTCAGGAAGAGGCGGCGTTTTGGGTTCCGCAGGCGACCCCAGATGGACGTTTGTTCTATTTCAATACGCTGACCGGCGTCAGTACAATGGAATTGCCGTTGGAAACGCCAACAAGTTCGGACGAGAGCGGACCGCGTGATCGAAACAATTTTCACGTTCCAGAACAAACAAGGCCACCGCCCGAGATGATGGCGGGAGGGTACGCGCAGAATGAAGAAGACTACGATGGGTCTGCCTCTGAGGCTGACGGTGAACAATCCTTTTTGTCTTCACGCAAGAAAGGGTCCGGTTCTATGACTTCTGCCAGCATCTCAACCTCAACCTCCATGGACTCACTCAACCTAAGCTCATCCAGACAACTTGGAAGCCAAGCAACCAATCCATTCACCAACACGTTTGACTCTCACCTCAACATGTCGCTGGCATTGCCTCCCTTGGGGACTAGCTCGACTTCATTTGCTGTAGGGCTACCGCCGAAACTTTCCAAATCCCCCACCCCCCGATTTTTTCTGGATGACGGTGGAGTCGCTGCAGTCACATGGGATAGCCTGGTAGAAAATATGCGCACGGCCATCGAGGCCTATCGTCATGCAATTCGTACTCGAGCGCGCGCAGACTATGTTCGAAGGGCAGAAGACATCTCAGACCATCTTCGCATGCTGTTGGCCGCAGGATCAGGGACCACCGATAATCACTCGGGAAACCCATCTATAATCTCGTCAAACAAGGCCCTATACCCTCACTTTCGGGAGATGATGTCCAAGTTCTCAAAGCTCGTCCTATCGTCACATATCGCCGCCGCCGATTGGCCAGGACCTGACGCGTTGACCAAATGTTTACAAGAAGCCGATGGTGTGATGAATGGGGTATATGGATACGTAGAGGTGGCCCGACAGCAGAGAGGAGAAGAGATCCCACGGTTGTTTCCAGGCTTTATATTGGGCAGTACCGTTGGAGGAAGCTGGCGGGACAACAACATTGACTCCCAAACGAATCTGGATGAAGTCTCATTCATGGATTCCAATGATGAGATCGGTTGGCGTCCATCGGAACCACTCGATGCGAACCTCCTTCGACACATCGATGATTCGAAGAGGGGGTTGTCGGCCGCCATTCGTCGTCTTGAGGAGGTCCTTGTACTTACCGAGAAGATTGTCACTCCTGCGAGACTATCTGCCATTGGAGATGCTGTCTGTCAAGGTGCGGGCATGATTCTCGAACAATTCCGGCCGTGGGTCTCCTATGTTGAGTCTATCGATCTCTCTGCGCTAGGGAACGTGTTTCAGAAACCATCACTGGTGGATTTTGGATCTCAGAAGCAAAAGGCCTACGATTCCATTGGCGAATTGGTGGCCACTTGTCAGGCTGTCACTACACCCCTCCCAGATGAATGGGCTGAAGTGCGTGGCGAGTCGTTGGATACCCGGATTAGCAACGTTCGAACTGTTTGCCAGCAGCTTGACACTCATGTGGCCAACGTGGGCTACGCATTGGAACTATTACTACCTGCCACCACGCTGAACCCTGCGCTGGCTACTAACAAGCGGGAGAACCGTGTGACCGATGGAGGTGAAACTTATCAGGCTCACCATCTTCGATCCGATTCGAAGCATGCAGCAAACTTGCGCCCTGCACTGGCAGATCTTGGTCAGTCAAAATCATACACACTTGGTGAAGATCCCATGACAGACAAATTACGTCGACCCCCCAACAAGGACAAAGCAAGGCAGTTCTTTGGACAGATACCGCCGGACTTGAATCCCGTCAAAGCCACCATTGAACCAAGCTACCCTGTAGACGAAGTCCCATGGTATCTGCAACTCGACCACGCGGATGAAATTACTTATGATACCAAAAACGACCCTCCTCAAGTCAAAAGCGGCACGCTCACTGGACTTGTGGAACAGCTTACTAGACATGATCGACCGGATACGACCTTTACCACGACCTTCTTGCTCACCTATCGTTCTTTCACCTCCGCGTCAGAGCTCTTTGAGCTTCTGGTAAGGCGATTCAACCTACAGCCACCTGCCGGCTTGAATCGCGACGAGTATTCCATCTGGGAAGAACACAAGCAGAAGCCAGCAAGATTTAGAGTCCTGAACATTCTCAAGTCGTGGCTGGAGCAGTATTGGATGGAAGCCGACGATGGCAATAGTCAGGCATTGCTCGAGCGAATGCTGGCTTTTGCGAACCGTACATTTACCACGACAAAGATTCCGCTCGCAAAGGCTCTGACATCCATCATCGAACAGCGATTGAAAGGGGGAGAAGCTTTGTCCAAGAAGCTTGTGTTGACTCTCACGAATTCTGCTCCGGCTCCTATTCTGCCCAAGAACATGAAGAAGCTCAAATTTCTGGATATCGATCCCAAAGAATTTGCGCGGCAGCTGACCATTATTGAATCGAAACTCTATGGCAAGATCAAGCCTGTTGAATGTTTGGCCAAGACGTGGGAGAGGAAGAGCAAGTCGGATAGCAGCAGTGACACTGCTCCGAACGTACAAGCTCTCATCTTACATTCAAACCAATTGACTAACTGGGTCTCGGCCATGATTCTGGGTCAATCAGAGGTAAAGAAAAGAGTGGTCATCATCAAGCATTTTGTGCTGATTGCTGAGGTGAGTTGTGTCCCGCCTGTATTGACTTTGCACTGGTCCTAATATACTGCACAGCAATGCCGTGTCCTGAACAATTTCTCGGCCGTGACAGCCATAATTTCAGCTTTGGGTACTGCCCATATAGTCCGACTGAGTCGAACCTGGAATGCTGTTAACCCAAAGACAAACGCAATCCTCGAGTCGATGCGCAATCTGATAGCATCTTCGAAGAACTTTGCACTTTATCGTGAAACACTACGCCAGGCAACTCCGCCATGTATCCCCTTTTTGGGTGTTTACCTGACCGACTTGACGTTCATTGAAGATGGAATCCCGTCACTTACCAAGAACACCGAATTGATCAATTTTGCCAAACGGACCAAGACTGCCGAGGTCATTCGAGACATCCAGCAGTATCAAAACGTGCCTTATAGTCTCCATCCGGTTCCAGAATTACAGGAGTGGATTTCGGACAACATGAAAAATGCTGGAGACTCCCATGATGACATGTTCGCCCAGAGTCTCAAGGTCGAGCCTCGCGAGCGAGAAGAAGAGAAAATCGCGAGGCTACTGTCCGAATCGGGATTTCTGTGAAGTGGGAAGATGCGCATTGTTGTGGATCTAGTGTTACAACCTGCTTTTGTCTGGAACAAAAGTATCTTTTCTCTGGGACGATACGGGCTTTGGTTACACGGAGCACCCCCAACGCAACGCAGCAAAAGAACGACGTTCGTAGATGAGCGAATCTCATCATATGTCCTGCATCACAATGTGTGGACCTTCGGCGGACGTGGAATCAATCGGCGCATGGTCTGGGAATAATGATGGCAATCATATGGTGTTATGGCGACGATATCTGGATTTGGATTTGGATGAGGAGATATGTGCCCACGTCAACTTAACGAAGCTCTGCATGCTTGTGAGCATATGGAAATCTGGTTACATTGAGGATCCTGTTGTGCTTGTGAGGGCTGGAGTCTGTTTTCTTCCCTCCAGGTCCAGCGGCGTCCTGTGGCTTCGTTGAATGTGCGAGTGGAGGATGAGCATGGTCCAGCAATGGTCAGAACTGAGGGCGCCTACAACGGATCAATACTGAGGGCCATTTCCGTGGATTGGATACGGGCGGCTTTGTGCTTTGTGCTCTCTTTTCACGCGCTCTCCCTTACCCTGTTCGGTTTATCGTAACTCTCTCAGACACACAGGACCATCTTCTCGTATAGATCAGACCAATACTTATATAACAAGCACGTCGATTTCTCACACAAGGCTGCCGGCTCCTTTTTTTTGCCGAAGATAACAACTGGTTGGTAGGAACAGTAAGTGACAGACAGGACGAGACAGGATCAGACAGACTGCAGCGGTGCCGAAAATGCTTCTCCGCTTCGGGAACAACTCCGGGAATCTCACCACCACCACCACCAGCATCTAGTTCCAATGCACCTTTAATCCTCGTCTACCTCTATTGCTTCTCACGTATCTCTCTCCCTGGTCTATCTGTACATGCCTTCCCACCTTTATTCTGCCCTCTCAGTATTGACACGCAGCTTCCTACCAGCCGCAGCGCGCAGATCTTTGACAACTGCTTCCCCGCACCACTTAATCTCGCACTCTCTACTTCGACCACAATTCGGGATCTCGATACAAACCATCCGCAGGATGTCTTCCTCCTTGTCTGCCATGGGCAAACGCCTGTCTGGCAAAACTATCCTCGTCACCGGCGCCTCCTCTGGCATCGGTCGCAGCGTCGCCCAGGAATTTGCTCGCACATCCCCGGAAGATCTGAAGATTATCATTACTGCCCGCCGGGTCGAGACGCTCAAGCAAGTCGCCGTGGAGATCAACAAAGAAGTCGGTAACGGGGTAAAGGTCTTGCCTGTCAAGTTGGATATCTCAAAATCTGAGGAAATCAGCAGTTTTGTGGGAAATCTGCCAGTGGAGTTTAGAAATATTGATGTCTTGGTGAACAATGCCGGTTTGGTCAAGGGCATGGACAAAGCGCCAGACATCAGACCTGAAGACATGGAGATCATGTTCTTGACCAATGTGACTGGTCTGATCAATATGACACAGGCCATCCTGCCCATCATGAAAGCAAAAAAGGGAGACAGCGGAGAAGATGTCGGAGGCAGAGGGGACGTCATTATGATCGGCTCTATTGCAGGGAGGGAGGGTTATCCTGGTGGAAGTATCTACTGCGCTACAAAAGCCGCAGTGAGAACATTTACAGATGCCCTTAGAAGGGAGCTGATTGCCAGCCGCATAAGAGTCATCGAGGTGGATCCTGGACAGGTCGAGACTGTACGTGGCCCTCTCCGCCTTGCGCCTCTCTCGATGATCGCCAAAAGAGTTTCAGGAAGCTCCTGCTGATTTGGATTTTATGCTGACCCTCTTCGTGGCTTATTAGGAATTCTCCATTGTCCGCTTCGGCGGTGACAAAGCCAAAGCCGACGCCGTCTACAAAGGCGTGGAGCCCTTGACCCCGGACGACATCGCAGAGGTTGTTGTATTTGCTGCCGGAAGGAGGGAAAACGTCGTCCTTGCAGACTCGTTGATCTTCCCGAACCACCAGGTCAGGCTCTGCCCCCTCTCATTCACACGCGTTGCAGTTACTTCGAAGTGTTGTTGGCAAGCAATGTCTATTCTGTAGCATGGCGAGATATCCCCCGAAAAACGCCGCTACTACAGATTACAATAAATACTAACCAAAATGTGAGTGTAGGCTTCTGCAACAGTCATGCACAGGAAATCAGGGTAAAAGCCGTTCCCCCTTTCCTCCAGTCCAGTCACAGCAGCTCAGACTCGACGTGGATGACGAAGTCGAGGGTTCATCCAAACGGACGCAATTCCAGCAGCGCCTCCTGGATCAACAAACTAACCCTTTCCTCAATCCCTGTAGCAGCGCAGCAGTCAGTTGAGAATTGTGGAAAAGAGGAGAGCCAAACCAGACAGACATGACCCCTCATATCATGTACAGCATCTCAAGACATAGAGAACAGATACTGTTCGACAGAAACAAACAAAGATGAATTCAAGCATCTCGCTTCTAAAGAGGCCCTGGAATTCGGGGGTCCATGGACGAGAAGAATCTCGATCTTGTAATTCACCCCTTCATAGGTATTGTCTTTTTTCTAGCGGCCCTTTCTGTGTCTTCTTAGATGCCGATTATGCTGCGCTTCCTACAGGTCTGATCTGCTCGCCCCCGAGAGACCGAGAGAGAGAGAGAATGCTGGATTGAAAACGGCGCAAATGTTTACAAGCTCGATGTTTACAAGCTGTAAAATGCTCCTCTGCACATAGCGAAGCGTCCTTTCCTACTAAAGCAATGTCCTCTGTCCTCGCAGCGAATACCATGTGTCTGTCTTGCCTCCTTGTTGCCCCTCTGCTTGTTTCATCTACAAGACGGAACCGTCTGTATGTGATCCGCTCTGCTCTGCCCTGCTCGGTGGCTTCCATGTCAATGTCCAATTTCCACGAGGACGTATGAGATGTTGCCTACTGGTCCCTGAATGTTGCATTTGTGTGGTAAACTCCCAGAGCGCATACTCCAACGGACATGTGGCATAAGAGTGCGCCTCTTGGGCATCGCCATCCCTGTTGGGACTGAAAGCCGATATCATTTCTTGCTGTCAACTTAACCTGTGGTTCTGTTCTTATCGCCTGTGCCACTGCACCAGGATTTACTGGGCGTTTATCGCGATTACTGGGCCCTCATTACGAGTGTGTTCGAATGGTCATCGATCGCTGGGAAAGCTAGATTTCCCCTTCTGTAGCATTTGGTGGGTGAGGACGTGGAGTGTGCTGATGCAGATGCTTATCGAATTTCCCACATGGTTTGCTGGCGTGCTGCTGCCTGCTCTTTCCTTCAGTTTTGCCTGCTCTGCCTCGACGCTGGTTGTCCTGACCGTGCCCGAGTCCCATCCTACCGGTTCCCTCACTCTCTCTGCTTATCATTTGTCCAGCACTTTGAGAGTCTCGATGTCTTGGGTCTTGGTCATGCCGCCAATTTTGTGCCTGCACTGCTTGACCCCCATGACTGTAATGTCGCTGGCGGTAGCTCTTACCTTCGTTCCGCTGTCCTATCATCATTTCGGGTGACCTCGATCTTGTCCGCTGCTCTTCTTGCTTGGGAATGGCAAACCGAACTGGTTTGGGAACTCCGGTTACTCCAAGAGCTGCAAGACGTTCTTCCTGCTCGATGGATAGGCCTGTCTCCATCGCTTGCTGTTCTGGAAATGTCTGAATGCGCTGGTGAACGTTGGCTGTTACCGTGATCGAGGGGCGGCGGTAAGCTCCAGCAATGTTGTGGCTTGAGACAATGGCGTTTTTACGTTGATCAAGTTCTTCAAATGCTACTATCTCCCCATCAGTAGCGATATCTGCAAACGCCGGATCGTCCTTGACATAGTGCCAGTGTCTGGTTTCGCGCACTGGTCTGAAGAAGGTGAGATCCTTGTTATTGCGGAAATATTTCGAGACAATGACTGGTTGGTGCGCTTCCATCCAGTCATTCTCATCCATTGTTGCGCCGAAAGCTTGTATTCTTCGTTGGACTGGCGAGAACTGCTTTGCAGCCTCAAGACCTAGACCATCAGAGAAGCCGAGGGCTTGCACACTATCTTTCGAATGCATGCCATATCCGTGAGGTAGATTGCCACGCGATTCCTCATGAGTATTCCACTGAGAGAGCATTGGGAGGTCTTGATTCAGTCCGTCCGGGATTGGTGGTGATGCTGGTCTTTTGTGCTCATGAGTCGCACCCTGATATGGCTTAATCAGTGGTCCTCCTAAATCGCTCGTTCGGATATGAGACGAGAAGCTAGCTGGAAATTCGACTTGAGCACGATTGCTATACTGCGATTGACCCGTAAATCGTGACCTTGTGGACATATAGCTCTGGTCGAAGTGATATCCTTCTTGGAAGCACATTCTTTGGTCGGGATACTGGGCAGCTTGAGTACCATGCGAGGGTCTATATGGGAAGATTGTCAACAGGCAGCGTCGTCTGACGGAGGCTCTGGCTTCGCTCACAGGACATATCCACCTTGTCGGCCGCCATAGCCTACAAGATAGCTGGTGTGATCATAGTTTTCTTCACCGTGACTGTCTCTCAGACTGTTTCCGCCGTTGTAGTAACTAAACATGAGGTGACTTGGACCTGAACGTGGATCTGTCGTCCTGTCATACTGCCACTGCAGCACGTTTGATTGACGACCAGGTTCCATCTTGAGTCAAGGAAGTCACGATGAGCAATCACCGGTGTCCTTCTTCAAAGAGATAAAACAAATAAAGGTTGAATGTGAAGTAGTTGAGTGTGAAACAGCAAGTCTTCAAAGCGGCGAGGGATTTTGATGTCGAAGGGCTGCACGAGGCACAGAAGCAAACCGAGAGTCTCCACCGAAGCGAGCAAGGGGAAGGAACAAAGCCGAACTGACATCTCTGCAGGAGAGAAATCTCAGTCACTGAGAACTGAGAGTAGTGGATATCATGGTACAGCACAGAGGACAGAGAACAAAGAGAAGACGCAACCTCGGGCTTTCTCATACGTTTGGAGCAGCAACCCCCAGAAGAGAGAGGGAGAGAGAGGAAAACCCTTGTCATTCTGTGCTATACTGAGAGAGAGGGAGAGTAGATACAAACGAGTTCTTGGGTCTACGAAGCGGAGACTGTTTGTACCCGAAATGCGACGGTTCAATGCAGGGTCTTGGGAGGTTGTAGAGCCGCAGAAAGCGAGTAGCTATGGAGCTATTGCTTGAGTGGACAGACGACATCGTCAGAGAAGTATGAGAGGCGATGGCATATGGCCAGGGTGCCGATGGCTGGATATGGATGAAGACGGCGGGAAGCTGGACGTGGAAGTGGTACATAATAATGCGAGGCAAATATTCATGATGAGAATCTTAGAAGCGGGAAACAAGTGTGAACAATTGCTTCTTTTAGAAAGCCGCGTTGCCGCCGCGTCGAACTTCACCCTGCGACCGAACCAGCCATTCTCTTCGACGAGTTCTCATCCTCATCCTCCCTATTTCCTTCATGCCGCGTTCCCTACATTCTCTTCGTCTGCAGCATTGCTAGCATTTTCCCCGGAGTCGGGCATCATGACAGAGCGGAGCGACTCCTGCAGCGTTTCAAAGAACTTGTCTTAGGCGCAGCCACTTGAACACCCTGCTCCCGTGCTTCAACACTTGTGGCGACACCAGTGGCAGACTTGCTTTATTTTTTGCAATGCCTGGTCTACCAGGTAGGTTTTATGAGGCTCTTACAGGCAGAATATCACTAATGACAAAATACTACAGCGAGTATCGACCTGGATGAATGCATCGCCCAACTGTACAAGAAAAACCTCCTCGCCGAATCCCTGATCGAGGCGATATGTGCAAAAGCAAAGGAGATGTTAATGAAGGAGAGCAATGTGGTCCATATATCGGCTCCTGTCACTGTTGTTGGCGACATCCACGGCCAATTCTTTGACATGTTGGAAATCTTTAAGATTGGGGGCTTTTGTCCAGACACCAACTACCTTTTCCTCGGTATGAGTGCGCCCTACGCTGTGCAATGCCCCGTTGCTAATCTGTCGCAGGCGACTACGTAGACCGCGGTCTGTTCAGCGTCGAGACGATTTCCCTTCTTGTTTGCTTAAAGTTAAGATACCCCCAGCGCGTCCATCTCATTCGAGGCAATCATGAATCACGAGGCGTCACGCAATCTTATGGCTTCTACACGGAATGTGCACGAAAATACGGCAATGCAAATGTTTGGCACTATTTCACCGACATGTTCGATTTCCTTACCCTGAGCGTGGTCATCAATAACCAGATCTTCTGTGTTCACGGCGGCCTTTCTCCGTCCATCCACTCCATCGACCAGATCAAAATCATCGACAGATATCGAGAAATCCCCCACGAAGGACCTATGGCGGACTTGGTATGGTCAGACCCCGATCCAGAGCGAGACGAGTTTTCGCTCTCGCCGAGAGGAGCTGGATATACTTTCGGGGGCGATGTGGTGAAGAAGTTCCTGCAAGTTAACAGCATGTCTCATATCCTGCGTGCCCATCAACTGTGCCAGGAAGGCTATCAGATTTTGTACGACGATCGCCTTAGCACAGTCTGGAGTGCTCCAAACTATTGCTATCGCTGCGGGAATTTGGCGAGTGTTCTTGAAGTCAGTGATGCTGGTGATCGCTACTTCAATATCTTTGATGCAGCACCGGAGAATGACATACATCGAAACGAGCAGCAACAGCAGCAACAACAACAGACGCAGGGAAAAGATGGTCAAGGTTCTCACATTGAGTACTTTCTCTAGTGTTTGGGTCATCTGACGTATTGGCTGGTGTTGGAGGCAACATCCACAGCAAAATCCCGCAAGCCAGTCGTGACGAACTCGCGGCCAAGATGACTCTCAATTGCTAAAGGCCCGAGGGCATCGCCCGTTTGACAATAGCGTCGGATCTAGGCCGACATGCTGGAAAAAAAAGAGGGATGGGCCACCACGATGGCTTACCCCCAATCACTTCCAATCCTTGGCAATATCGAATGACCAGTGGAATTCGAGATGTGTATGGTCATCATCATCGGCAAATCTGGTACTTGCCTCGTAGTGGCCACGAGCGAGCATGCCGGAAGGAGCCTCTTCTTCGGTAAACCTCTTTTCATATGTGGGCTTATCGGTGGTGTTGGGCGCAAAACTGCCAATCATCTCCTGGTCCTTACTGACACGGATACCTTTTCGCTTGACGACTTGGATGTACTTGAGGCCAGAAAGGACTTGGTGCTGGACGGTGAAGACGGCCTTCATGCAGTACTTGCAGCCTTCCTTGATGGTGAAGGGGTGTTTGTTAAGGGTTTCGAGGGAGCCGGGTTGAGTCAGATCGATGGTTATATCTGGTCGGCCTTCGACTTCCTTTGGTCTGGGTCAGGTACTGTGTATGATTTCTGGTTCGGATGGACTCACCAACGAAAGAGATTTAATGATGCATGTGCGGGGGTCGTTCGGGTCGCCGATCGGTGTGCCACTGCCTAGACCAAGTGATTGCTTCCACCGATTCAAGGCATCGTCGCCTTGGTCTAGATTGGGTTGAGGAAGTCAGTGTATGATCACAAAGCCTGGTGAGAATAGAGCAGATCTGGACTCTAAAAGAACAGCGATCACAGTAGTTGTCTCAGATCTCTTCCCTGTATCTTGTCTTCTTCGCCATTCTTCTCTACGGAATGGTGACTGCGGTCTACCATCCAGACACTTGTTGGAGTGGTAGACAGCAGGTTAACTCACCCAGTTTCTGATATTCCTCCAACGTCTTCTTCTCCCCCACCTTGAAACCGGGAGTATGTTCGGCCTGTAGATCATCCGCCATTTTTGCTGACACAAGACACGGTTATCGATAAAGTTTTTCCGATCACCAAATCTGTCGTCGTCGATTGCTTTGAGAGCGAGCAATGGGGTGAGAGGAGAGTTGTGAGATGTTTGGAGGGGTGTGGGACGCTGGAGCCAGCGGCGGTTGTGGCGGTCTGGCTGCACAATATCACGCCAATTCCAAAGTAGAAAAGCGCGTCGCGTTCACGTCACTCCTCACTTGCCCAAATGATTGATAAGTGATTCTCCGCGACTGCTCTTTCAAGCCTCCGACCACCACCTCCATCTTCTCTTGATTCACAAGTCTTTCTGTCTTTGACACCAGGCTCGTGAAAATGCCTGGACGTGTTCTTGATCAGCCCAAGAAGAGGGTCTTGACAGACACCACCAACACCCACAACGTCCTCAAATCCCCGCCGTCGGCGAAGAAGAGGAAACTAAATGGCGACCGACCCAATGTCTCTTTCCACTCGTCGCAGCCCGGCCCAAATAGGTTTAAATCAAAGCTGGGCTCGTCGCAGCCCAAGAGCCAGTTTGAAACCGAAGTCCTCGAAAAGATGACACAGGACATTGCGGGCTTGAAAGAGAACAATTCGGAGAAAGACCAGCAGTGGGAGAGACCAAGTCTGGACAACTTCAACGCAGACTCGAATCCTTTGCGTTTTCAACAGATTGAAATTGAGGAAGGCACATTGCATGGGGGAAAGATTGCCCTTAAGATGTTTGGTGTATCGGAGGTACGTTAACCGCGGTGTTGTTGAACCACCATTAGCTGAATCCAGAGCAGACTGGCCACTCCATCCTTCTCCACGTCACCGATTTCCTTCATTACCTCTATGTGGCAGCGCCGGTCAACTTCCAACGATCGGATGTGGAAGGGTACAAAGCATACCTCGAGGCCCAACTGGCACAGCATCAACCGGCCATCCATTCCGTGCAGATGGTGCTGCGCGAGAACCTGTTTGGGTTTCAGGGCAATCAGAAGAGCCCCTATCTCAAGATTACGGTAACAGATCCCAAGTTTATCAACCGATTACGGACTGCGATAGAGGACGGACATGCCAACTACAAAGGGATGTGGAAAGGCGTTGAAAGCAAAATTTTGACCTTCGACAACATCCAATATGTTCTTCGCTTCATGATCGATACGGGCATCACCGGAATGTCATGGGTTGAGGTTCCCCCACAGAAGTATCACGTCCTTCCTCAACATGACCGCCAGTCTAATTGCCAGATCGAAGCGTACTGTCACTATCGGGATCTTGTCGCACATGGACATGACGGGGAATGGGCAAAAATGGCACCACTTCGAATCCTGTCCTTCGATATCGAATGTGCTGGCCGCAAAGGCATCTTTCCCGAAGCCAATCAAGACCCCGTTATCCAGATTGCAAACGTGGTCACAAAATATGGCGAGTCGAAGCCTTTTATCCGAAATGTCTTTGTACTGGACACTTGCAGCCTGATTGTGAACACGAAGATATATGAACACAGATCAGAGTCTGATATGCTTATGGCATGGAGACAATTCTTGGAAGAAGTTGATCCCGATGTCATCATCGGCTACAACATTGCAAACTTCGACTTCCCTTATCTCCTCGATAGGGCCAAACACCTGAAATTGACCAAATTTCCTTACTGGTCACGACTGAAAAGTGTAGCATCCCACGCCAAAGACACCAACTTCTCCAGCAAGCAAATGGGTAATCGTGATACGAAGTCCACAAACACTAATGGCCGAATTCAGTTGGATTTGCTGCAGCTCGTCCAACGCGACCACCAACTTCGCAGCTACACGCTGAACTCTGTCTGTGCACATTTCTTGGGTGAGCAGAAGGAGGATGTCCACCACACCATGATCACAGAGTTATACAATGGAACTCCAGATTCGAGAAGACGATTGGCTGTCTACTGTTTAAAGGATGCCTACCTCCCCCAACGACTTATGGACAAGCTCATGTGCCTGGTTAACTACACGGAAATGGCCAGGGTTACGGGTGTCCCTTTCAACTACCTCCTCGCCCGAGGGCAGCAGGTGAAATTCATCAGCCAACTTTTCAGGAAAGCTCTAGAGCAGCAATTGGTCATTCCGAATCTGCGAAATGAAAGCACCGATGAGCAGTATGAAGGTGCTACGGTCATTGAGCCCATCCGAGGCTATTACGATGTGCCCGTTGCTACTCTGGATTTCGCTTCCTTGTATCCTTCTATCATCCAAGCCCACAATTTGTGTTACACCACACTATTGAACAAGAACATCATCGAGAAACTCAATCTGAAAAAGGACGAAGACTATATTCTCACTCCCAATGGGGATCTCTTCTGCACCGCCAAAGTTCGCAAAGGACTTCTTAGTCAAATTCTGGAAGAATTGCTGAGTGCACGAAAGCGAGCAAAGAAGGAACTCGCTGTAGAGACAGACCCATTCAAGAAGGCAGTGCTCAACGGACGCCAACTCGCTCTAAAAATATCTGCAAACTCCGTCTACGGTATCACAGGTGCCACTGTTGGAAAGCTGCCCTGTCTCGCCATCGCATCGAGCACTACAGCATATGGCCGCCAAATGATCGAAAAGACAAAGCATGAAGTGGAACAAAAGTACACGATGGCAAATGGCTATTCGCATGACGCCCAGGTCATCTACGGTGACACCGACTCAGTCATGGTCAAGTTTGGCGAGAAGGATCTTCGAAAAACCATGGAACTTGGAGAAGAAGCCGCCAACTTTGTGTCTTCTAAATTCATCAAACCGATCAAATTGGAATTCGAAAAGGTCTACTTTCCTTACTTGCTAATCAACAAGAAAAGGTACGCGGGACTGTACTGGACGAATCCAGAGAAGCATGACAAAATGGACAGCAAAGGCATTGAAACTGTCCGACGGGACAACTGTCGTCTCGTCCAAGTCGTCATTGAGACAGTTCTGAAAAAGATCTTAATCGACCGAGACTTAGATGGCGCGCAGGATTATGTCAAGGAGACCATTGCCAACCTTTTGCAAAACAAGATCGATCTCAGCATGCTAGTGATTACAAAAGCACTTAGCAAAAGCGACTACACGGCCAAACAAGCACATGTGGAACTAGCTGAACGGATGAAGAAACGCGACGCAGGCTCAGCTCCAGCACTGGGCGACCGTGTAGCGTATGTCATGGTGAAAGGCGCCAGCGGGTCCAAGAACTACGAGAACTCGGAGGATCCAATATATGTGCTCGAGAACAACGTCCCTATCGACACCAAATATTACCTGGACAACCAACTCGCCAACCCTCTGGGAAGAATCTTCGAGCCCATCCTCGGTGAGCGACGTGCTAATTCCCTACTTGCCGGCGACCATACACGCTCCATCTCTGTTGCTGCCCCTACCCTTGGCGGACTAATGAAATTCGCCAAAAAGACACAGACATGCATGGGCTGCAAGAAACCTCTAGTCAGCGCCCAGGAATCCAAGGGTGCGGTGTGCGAGAACTGTCGTCCCCGAATAGGCGAGCTGTACACCAAGCAGATAAAAAAGGTCGGCGAATTGGAAGTAAGATTTGCCAGGCTGTGGACACAGTGCCAACGGTGCCAGGGCAGTATGCACTCTGAGGTGCTATGCTCGAGCCGGGATTGTCCGATTTTCTATATGAGGATGAAGGCGAGAAAGGAAGTAGAGGAGTCAGGAAAAGAACTGGCAAGATTCGATGCCGATGTTGGTGCCATATGGTAGAGACAAGAGCGTGCGACTGGGAAATACAGATCGTGGTGACAAGCTCTGCCTACCAGTGATTGTTGCTGCTATTGAAGGAAGTTTGGATGCTTTTCTACGAAGGGGCCATGTATGGTCCACTGTCGCAGCTCGGTCTAGTCCTGAGAATACATGGTACAGCAGTAGAATTTGCGTTCAGCATTGCGTTTCAGTAATGAATGAACGGAGGGTTCCCTTGATCTCTTCAGTATGGCGATTTCATTGACATTTACGACCGAAGCGCGACGAGGGAGACTGGAAGAGAAGCCTTTGTTGGTTGGAGCTCTACATGGATACATACCAACGACATGTAATAGAATGGGGTACTGTGTGCAAGTAAAGACGACTTCCAAGTCTGTACACTCGTTGCAGTAGATCCGTCTGTCTGTACCTCGTAAAGCTGGATTCATCACAAGTACACCAACGACTAGAGGTCTGGGTCGTCGTCAACTAATTGTAACCTTGACAAAGTACTGGTTCCCTCGAAATCATCCTGCAGCATAGAATCTGCCTCCGACATTACATCCCAATCAGTTCCACTCGTATCACCACGGCTGAATCCATGGTTCACTTTTTGAGCCTCCTTACGCACCTGCATTGCGACAATTGCCACGCCTAGCGCATTCCATACATCTTGATCTCTTTGGCTGAAATCAAGCTCAGCAATGATGCGGAGTCTATCGGGGTTGACACTCGCGCTGCCTCGAAGAGGAGTTCCTGGGGTAGATGGAGAATCTGTTTGCGGTTTTGTGGGCCCCAGTGTATACCTCTTACCCGGGCTGAGTGTGACAATGACAAGTACCGACGAGATGATCACGAAGCCGACAAGAGTAGGTGAAGATGCATCATCATCAGCTACCCGCGTTTCGCCGGTGTCAATGAGATCTGGACTTTGAGTCTCGATGCTTGGGTGAATATGTTGAGCTCTTTGATGTCGCACCGAAAGCCTCTGTAACCTGTTCGCGATCTCCTCAAGCGTCTGCAGTGTAGACCGACCCTTCTTCCTGGCGACGACAGCGTGGACTGGAATATAGCTGGGCTTTGAACTTGGGCGAAGTCCCACATCTGTCAGAGCCCAGTAGAGGTATCTCTTCACAGACTGCTCTAGAATCCTTTCTCTGGGAATACCCGGGCTGACGTGTGTCCTGTCTCGTATATCATGGCCGGCCTCGAAGAGTCGACGCAGAGCATGGCTGGCCCTGAATTGGTTGTCTCGGATGTTTTGGATGAGTGGAGGTTCTGCCGAGTTCTCATGTGCAAACACACTAATCGGTAATGTGTCAAAGTCAATCATCCAGTTTTGCGGAAGAAGAGGCTCGAAGCCACGATAGGCGAGGTGGAAAAATAACTCGCGTTCTGCCTGCGACCAGAGTCCTGAGTTGGCAGGCAAAGTAACCGCAGCAGCATGCCTTCGCGCTTCCTCCATCGCGTCGAAATCTACGGAATCTAGCTTTTGCCTTGCCATTGCGGTTGAAACGAATGATATCGAGTCGTCATCGTGAATCCCCGTCTGAGAAGCGTGCACGGCTTCAGGGTCGGCACGTAGTGCGAGCAACGATGTCCTTCGGCTGTGAGGGGTCGCTGGGGGTGGCATCAAGGTTCGATCTAGGTCTGCCTTCGTCCCTATTCCATCGCTGGGGATCGACGGGCTCTGATGCACGTCACTGTCATCCCCGTATGGTGTGAAAGCGTCTCGGTCCATGCTTATCGCACGCTTTTTGGTCTTGGGCCCAGAGTGATCCTCTTCCACAGCCTTTCTTTTGCCCTTGCCATAACTGACAGAATCGTAGGACCCTGCACGTGTTCCAGGACTCGGGGTATAAGCTGTGTCATTTGCATGGGCTGAGGCTGTAATGTTATCAGAGCGGGACAGGACAGTCGTGGATGAGCCCAACAGGCCCTGGAGGTAGCGAAAGGGAGAAGCAAATGCAGATTTGGCCATGATCGCAGAATGAAGCGTAGTCGAGGATTTTGCAGGACGTCTCGAGGATGGTGCAGGTAAGAGGGAGCGTGACGACGAGCTGGCGGTGAGGAGCAGCTAATCAAATCCGAAATGAATCGAGTGGTGGATGTTGTCGGCTAGCCGAAGGCCTGTAGCGGATTGATGGCAGGGCGGGTGAATCGCCGTAGCCTTCTCGGAAACATAGAGGGCATGACTGAAATGTCTGGTAGGATGACCATTTGTCGGGCGCGGTGACCTAGTACGGGCGTATCCCTGCGCTTTGTTCCCTGACGTGAAGTCGTATCAGGGAAGTTGGAAACAGGCAGCCTTGGGCCGGTTTCAGTTTCAGGTTGACGTCGTTGACATGCGCGTATTCAATTGGGCGAGACACGTTGGGCAGCAGGAGCTTCGCTGTATAAGGACTAGCGTGTATCAACCCAGGCGCGGGTCATCACGTGTCAGGCTCGTCCGTTCTAAAAGTCCTATTCTGCCTGTCGACCAAGTACTCATATCAAGTATATGTTCGGCATAGGGGTGCAGGCAGTATATAAGAAGCAACACTATATCCTGCTGCTCTCAGCCACTGTGAAGCCGTCACAGTTCCGCGCAAATGGATGCAGCTGAGCATGATCTCGATGCCAAACTCTACAAGGCTTCAGGAACTCTCCTTAGCGAACTTCAGCACAAGCTCCCACTACTATTATGCCACCCCGTGACGATGCCACCAAGACGCCGTCTTCGAGTCCTCGACTCAAAATGTGAGGAATTGAATCTGCTGGTTTGTCTCCATGAGTGTGATGGTCTTTGAGAGTATAGCTGACTCGGCATTAGCTTGACCGGTTTCAGGAATGGCCTCAACTGCTTGACCCGCATCTTTCGAAGCTGATCCAGCATCTTACCGATGCCTTTGTGGGCTACCTTGCAAGTTCAAGCGATCAGTATGGCCCCACGCAACGATCTGGAACAGCTAGCGTCAGTCCTTTACCTCGAGCGATATGCAGACTGCTGTACTCTTTCTGTAAGGTTAGGGGCTACAAAGTTATTGTTCGTTTGCTCAATAATGAGCCCAAATACTTGGCTCCAATGCTGTCCGCTTTCACGTCTTGGAATACACCATCTAAAGGTATGACCTGGCAAGAGAGATACATCATGCTTCTCTGGCTGTCTCATCTGATGCTTGCGCCTTTCGAGCTGGCCACTATGTCGGTCAGCCACACGGTCACCACTCTTCCTGGTGACCTAGGTAATCTTCCTGGCATCGCCGGCGACGTCGTTTCACTTGCTTTCGACCAACTGGAAAGCCCGGGCAAGGAGCGTGAAGCTGCAAGTATTCTGCTAGTACGGTTGAGCTCACGGAGAGACATGCTAGCCCACAAACTGCCTGTCAAGCTTGTGCAATATGCCTCTCGTAAACTCCTCAATGATTCTGATTTGGTCAGCCTCAGTCCCTACAAGGCCTTGGGCCTCTTGTCGCTTCTTTACGGTATCACAAACTCTGCTTCAGATAGCGAGGCTGCTTCTTACCTTGAGAACAACTTCAGTTCTATATTGAAGATTGCCACAGCTGAGAGCAGCCATTTTGCTGCTATCAGAGACTCGGCCCCTGCACGGAAATGGATTTTGAAAAATTTGCGGGCCGTTCTGCTACATGCAATCTCCTTGAGCTCCAAACACTCATCTGTGCAACTGAACAGCTCCAACACCATGCTCGAGGAGAGTATACAATACTTCCTCGATGCCCTGAGTGACAAAGACACACCGGTCAGGATGGCCGCTGCCAAGGCACTGAGCGTCGTTACCCTGAGGCTAGATCCTGACATGGCAGCAGAGGTCATTGAAGCGATTTTGGGGTGTCTTGAAGAAAACGTCCTATTGGAAGATCCTCACAGTCATAAGCTTCTGTCAACAACGGACAGAACAGTCCACGATACTGGGATGATGAAGAGAGTCATATCCGCGGTCGACCCCTTGAGATGGCATGGCTTAATGCTCACACTAGCACACCTGCTTTTCCGCCGATCTCCCCCACCCAAAATGCTATCAGAGATCATCCGAGCCTTACTCCTGGGCCTAGAATTTGAGCAGAGGTCCAATGTCGGCACTTCAGTTGGCGTCGGTGTACGAGATGCAGCTTGCTTTGGCCTCTGGGCCCTTGCTCGGAAATACCGCACTTCAGATTTGGATCTCGTATCTCACTCGGATCATGCCGAGCAAGGTGGAACAGAGTGCCAGAGTGTCCTACAACTCATAGCTGTCAAATTGACGATCTCTGCTTGCCTCGACCCTTCAGGTAACATTCGCCGAGGGTCGTCGGCGGCTCTACAAGAGCTCATCGGTCGGCATCCAGATACAATCACCAATGGTATCTCGTTAGTCCAAGTTGTTGACTATCATGCTATTGCGCGGCTCTCCCGGGCCATGACCGAAGTCGCTCCACAGGCCGCGGCACTTGGAAACGTCTACCACAGAACTCTATTGGAAGCCCTGAGAGAGTGGCGGGGTGTTTGTGCCGCCGATGTCAACCAGCGTCGCTGGGCTGCCTCGACCATTCACCTCCTCACAAGGTTCCTCCCCGTCCCAGAACTCTCTTCCTACGCTGAAGTTGTCCTTCGCCAGCTACTAAATCTTAAGTCAATCAACATGGGAAGCACTGCAGCAGCCAGGCACGGATTGCTCCTCGGGCTCGCCTCATCACTTGCCTCACTTGCGTTGCTTGAGCCTGTGACAGCGTTGTCTTGGTTGGAGAGAGAGGGCAACAAGATTCTTGAGTTGAAGCTGTTGACAGGCAACCTCGAGGGCCGGACGACAGCAGACATCGAACTTGTGATGGAAGGAATAGCCACGCTTATCTCTGAAATCAGCAAGTGTTGCGCCATGGCAAAACGAACACTAGCGCCTGTGCTGCAGTCATGGATATCGGCCGCAGCAGGAGTTCTGAATCACTGCACCACAGCTGGGACCAGGGAAATTGCTGTCCAGACGAGCGCTGAGGCGTTCGTGGAGCTATTCAAGGTTCTCCCACTTTCCGCGGATGCCACAATGATTCAAGGATGGCTCGAGGACAAAAGACAGACATCCGCAGCTGCTACAAGCAAAGGACGCCTCAAAACACTGAGCTTGCTACACGGATATCTGGCGCAGATTGGATTTGATCCCACAGTCCGTCACAGAATTCTGTCGTACGCGATGGATATCGTCCAAGGCTCGTATAAAATCGAGACAAGAGTTGATGCCATGGGGGCGCTGGGCGTCATACTCGCGAGTGAAATACCAATGCTCGACGACAATGTCACAACTCGACTATACGGGGTATTCAAATGTGGTCTAACAGACTACACCAATGACCAACGAGGGGACATTGGTTCAACCCTCCGATTGCAGACGCTCGAGACGGTCGACATATATCAGAATGCGCTTGGCTCTCGTGAACAGACTAGCACAATGTTAAGAGACGTGTTGCCGCTCGTCGTGAAATTGGCAGCAGAAAAGCTATCCAATGTGCGTTTCCGAGCCTGGAAATGTCTAGAAAGCCATTGGAAGAAGGATTCCTCCTTTCCAGACCTGCAGAATGCCTTTCAATATCCTGCCGACGTCTTGTCGGTCACATACTTCCAGCAACTGATGGATCTAATATCTATACCCTGGGTGCAAAGGGATCTCATCCTTGGACTTGCTTCGTCGGCAACATCCGGAACAGAAGACCTGTGTCGCGCGGCCAGCAATGCGTTCGTCCTGCACATGCAGTCGCTAGACTCTAGGACTCAGATAAGGCTTTCCGAAACAGTTTCGACTATTGTTGTTGAAGAGCTTGCGCTCAATGCCCAGCAAGATGATCGCCAGGTTGTCCCTTTGCTTGACTTTCTGTGTCTCATCATTGATCAAAACCTATTCGCCGACGACTCGAGCGTGCGTTCGGACACCGCAAAGGCTAACTTGTGGACTGTGATGCAAAAGGTCCACGGCCCCATGTCAAGCCTCCAGAGAATTGAAGCTTCGCTGAACGTCTACTCAAGGATGTTGTCCATGGATGCCTATCGTATCAAGGCGCTGGATAAATTGACCAGACAACTGCTCCACCGATGGCCAAAGGTACTTTCCCTTCTTGACCCTTGTGGAGTAATGGTTGACTAACTTATAAGATTCGTAACATTGCTGCCGACTTTCTCTATGTTGACTTCCCCAACAAAACACTGGCGTCTTGCGATTGGAACGAACCATTGGCTGGAATAAAACCCCTCGTTCTTGATATCCGAAAGCAGGTTGGCGTAGTCGGAGTGGGCGGCACTAGGTCAGGTGTTTGACGGTGCCAGAGAGGAGGAATGGGTGAATTGACATTGCAACTAGCTGTCCAACCCACGCGTCTTCATACATCGAGCTACGGCGTCTTTGACTGATTTTTCGTTGTACTGCTCCCAGATATCGTACAGGCTGATCAATTCCTGGGTGCCCTCAATCATCTGTTCAATGTTGATGCCGGACTCGACCAGGAATTTGATGGTATTCTGCATCTTCTCATTATCCTTGCTCAGGTTTATCACCTTCTCTCTGTCTCCTGGCTGCTGCGAGGCCGTTTCGGTTTGATTGAGAAATGATGCTTTCCCATTGAGGTGGGCGTTGCTTTGAGTGGCCATGAGATTCGACATTTGCAGATTGCTCAGCACGCTATTGATAGGAGTAGACAGGCTCTGGCGCCCGCCGACTCCAAGCGATGAAAAGTGACCGGCATCCGGGTTTGATAGGGTTTCGTGAGGCAAAGGACGGAGTGTGCCGGCGGCCTTAGCAGAGGGTAAGAAGACCACGGCAAGAAACATTGCAATAATGGCAACAAGGTGAGGAGGACAGGTCAGTGGCAAGTCGGTCATGTAGCTGTCATTGATGATGGACCAAGCCAAGCCAAGTTCGTCGTTCGTCAACTTGAGCTCTTGATTCTCCTTTAGGGCGATCAAGGAGCGATAGGGATGCCAGACAATTAATTCGGAGCGCATCTCTGAGATGAGGCA